ATATACACAATATATACACAATTTATACACAATTTATACACAATTTATACCCTTGCTCTGGTGGGAGGTTCCCTGCCATGGCAGGGGGTGGGTGAGCTTCAAGGTCCCTTCCAAACCCAACCCCTCTGTGATTCTGAGAGTGCTGCAGTGTGGGCACCAACATGAAACAAAAATTCTCCTTCTCCAAGTACAAAAAAGCACCACAGGACAGCATTAGAGGGTGGAATGTGCTCACAACATCAGCTGCTCTGTTTGTAAAGGCCAGGACACTTCCAAACATCCCAGATTACTCAATGCACCAAATATTTTGAGGAGTGTGTAAGGACAGAGAATGCCAAGGGATCAGCAAGGGCAGGTCCTGTTTCCTGAGAGCACAGACAACCATGGAATAACCTTGCAGCCAAGAACACCCCACATGGATTGCACAGAAATTAATGGCATCAGAAACTCTGCAAACTCGTGCAGCAAGAAGTGGCCAAGAGTTGAGTAATGTCCCACATGGCAGGGAAAATCAAATCCCAGCTCCTGCCCCTTGGACCAGGGAAAAAAAAAAATCTCTTTAAATCACCTGGGAGCCAAAGGAGGTAAAAATGATCCCTGCAGGTGCTGAGCAAGCCCCAGGCAGCACAAATGTGTCCCAAACACAGCCCAGGAGTTTGGAGAGAGCAGGATCCCTCTGGGATCCCTCTGGGATCCCTCTGGCACACATCTCCACCAGCAGCATTAACTGGGACACCAATTCTTCCACAAGTTGAATCAAACTGCATCTTGGAAGTAATTAATGAGGAATAATTATTGCTCTGAACTAACTCATTTTCCCAGAGGAAGTGTCAGATGTGTTAAACTAAACTGTTTCCAGTGAAGATATATCACCATACAAAGATAATGACAATATTGACTTTTCAACCTGTTTGAGAGTTTAGAGGATGAAAATCTCTTTTTATAAAACTCATTTACATCTTTAGTCTGTCCTCTACAGATGAGATAGGAAAATTCACAGGATATCTGAAATAATAATATTCTTTTTCAGGAAACAGCTTTAAGGTTCTCCCCAGACAAAATTTCTAAGTAGTGACATTTTCTGGGATCACAACTGGGATAAAAACACCTCAAGTGACACTAAGGGAAATATCAGTGGTGGAGACCAATGAGAGGCATCACCACACAGCCACAGCTATTGCTGCCAAACCTCCTCAAAGCCCAAAACCCAGGAGAACAAATGCCAGGGAAAGCAGGAGGGAAGCTGGGATGGAACAGCAGGATTAATTTTAAGCCAGGTTTCACACCTCAGCCTCACAAGTGTGAGATTCTTTGTAGAGGTACAAACACATTGTGAGCCCCCATGACCAGCCAAGAATTAATTTCAAGCCCTATTTAATAAAGAGAAAAATTCCTAAATCAAACACTACATTAAAAAATACTTACAAACTATTGAGAATATTCTTTCACCAAAGGCAGACACCTACTCAGCTCCAACTCTAATTTCCAACTCAGAAAGGCAAATGTCAGGCTTAGATCAACTCCCTGGTTTCACTGGGCACTTCCCTTTTGAAAGTTCATTATTTTTCATAATTAAAAAAACGCCAACAAGCCACTTCACAGCAGTCAGTTCTTTCCTCCAGCACAGAAACACTAAAACATACACTGGACAATTAATTTCCTTCTCCTCATCCCCAAAAACACGTGCAGGCAAAGCAGGAGCCCAGCAGGATGAAGGGATGACCCCAAACATGCCCTCAAGTGTAGGAAGCACTTCCAGGAGAGCTCTGAAGGAGCTGAATTTACAGGAATGCCAAATTATCCACAGTGATCCTTTAAGTGTGAGCACAGCTCATTGCTCAGGGTATGGATGTTTTGAGGAGGTCAAAATTCGAGGCTAAGAATAAAATCAGAGAAGGTTTTCTCACCTGTAGCTGCTGCTGCAAATGGGTGATTTCTGCAATTCTGAGTTCTCTGGATTTATTTGTACTTTCAATTTCTTGTCTTTGGGTCGACAGCCGACACCTGATATCCTGAAGCTTCCCCTCCAACTGGTTTCTTTTATCATTCTTTAAAACAAAAGAAAAAGATCTATTTTATATATATATATATATTTTAGTCATGCAAGTCCAAACATTTACCAAAACATTTGGATCTAAAACCAACTTTCACTCCGTATTTAAAACAGAAACGAACAGCAAACAAGCACAGCCAGGGCAGAGTCACCACCAGGCTGTTCCTGTGTGTTTGAGCTGCACCACCAGCACTCACAAGAGCTTCCAGCTCGAATTCCAGCGTTTTCTTCTTTGCCTTGAGCACCACGATGTCCTCCTGCTCCTTGTTCCTCTGGTTGAGCAGCTCCTGCCGCCGGTTCCGCTCCCACTCCAGCTGCCTCTGCCTCTCCAGCTCCCTCTTGGCAGCCTGGCATTCACAAACAAACATCTGCAATCCCAGCACCGTATTCCTGCTCTGCTACCATGCTATGGACAGGAGGCTGCTCAGTGCCTGCAATGCAGGAATTCCCTGCACAGCACAGGGGACTGCACAGAAACCCCCCCTGTTCTCCTGTTCCCTTGTTCTGTTTGTTTTCTTGTTCTCCTGTTTCCTTGCTCTCCTGTTCCCTTGCTCTCCTATTTTCTTGCTCTCCTATTTTCTTGTTCTCCTGTTTTCTTGTTCTCCTATTTTCTTGCTCTCCTATTTTCTTGTTCTCCTGTTCCCTTGCTCTCCTATTTTCTTGCTCTCCTATTTTCTTGCTCTCCTGTTTTCTTGTTCTCCTGTTCCCTTGCCCTCCTCTTTCCTTTCTCTCCTGTTTTCTTTTTTTTCTTGTTTTCCTGTTTTCCCAGGTTCAGTTTGCTGATGTAACAGGTTGTTTAATATTAGGACTGGGAGAAATCTTCAGGACATTATTCAAATCTTTTCCCAATCTCCAATATCAGACCCTCTGTAGCTTTGCAAACAACAGCCAAGTGTTTCAGTGCTGAACCTAGCACGGTTTGGCAATGGGAGCAAAAAGGAGATTTTGGGGTTAACCAGGGTGAGTTTCCTTTAATAAATTAAAGGCCAGGTTTTACCTGGTTGGGTGAAAGTTATCCCTGCCTGTGGCAGAGATTTGGGACTGGAGGATCTTTAAGCCAAACCATTCTATGAAATAAAAACTCCTCCCTGGAAAATCAAGAATGCCACAAGTTTTTCTTCAGTCATTCACACACCTTTTAACATCAAATATAGTAATAACAGTAATAATAATAATTATTTTTAAAGAAGTGAGAGGTCAAGAGCATGTTGTCCTAGATGTCAATGTCTCATCCATTCATTTCACAGCACAAATGAAGCAAAAACTGTTCTTTCCTTGCCTTGAACACCTCAGAAATTTCAGTTCCTGCTTTAAAACTTTGCTCCCCACCCTGGCAGCAACACACTTGAGTGCCCAGTGCACACCTGGATCCCTCCCAAGCCAGGGCACAACCCCTCCCTGTGCTCCCATGAGTGTGATTTATTTATTTTTTTTGCCAGTGTTGGGATTAAATGTTTGAGAGATGGTATTTCATGTTTGGACTCAAATGTTTATTAATTTTTATTTATATTACAGTGAATTCTACAGTGAGTACTTCTAGCTAACAAGCTAAAAATGGAGACATTTCTCTCTTTACAAGGCCCTTTAAGCCCAAACTGTTTAACTAAAAATGGACACCTAAATTATTTTTATTTTTAACTCAATAATTAACTACCCACAACCTGCAATGCAGAATTTTCTATCCAATTACAGAAAATTACCCAAACCCATGAAGAAGAAGGTGAAGAAGAAAGAAACTTCTGCCCTAAAACTTCCATCTTGCTTTTATTATTAGATTCTAAAACTTTCAATTCTAAGTTTTCTACCACGTGACATTACACACTTCTATTCAAATTACACACCAGTGATCTTAGTTCTATTATTCCATTTTGGAAGCTTTTTCTAAAAAGTCAAAAGCAGTGTTTTCCTGGGGATCAGTGCTTGCCAGCACAGAAAAGTCCAAACCATTTCATTTCCAGGGTTCCAACACCTGGATTTACCTTGTTGGATCCCACAAACCTGGAATTTTGAGCTTTCTGGCACTGCCCCCATGGAGAACACTGCTTTTGATTTGAGACCTTGGAGAAGGTTTTTAAATCTGAGTGATGGAGTTAAAATCAGGGCTGTGGAGTTCAATAGAAGTGTGTGATTGCACATGGGGAAGGGTTTGGGATTTGGGGTTTTTATAATACAGTCACAGGGATGGGACAAGAGGGGGGATTTGGGGTGGGGTCTCTGTGGGTGCTCATCTTCCTTCTCCCCCCTGGTTTCAGGTTGTGGTTTCTGTTTGGTCACTCAGTGTCCCACTGAGGGCCAGGGGAATTTGGTTATTGGGTAAAAGGATCAATAATACAGGTGTGAATTCTCTATTGCACTGTTTGGCTTTAGGACACCTTTAGCACTGGATCCTGCTCCGTTTTGCTCACTTTTAGCTGGTGCTTAGAGGTGTTACTGAACTTTCTTTAGGTAAGATTTAATAAACAACCAAGCCCAAACATGAGAAAATTCATTTCCTTTGTGTGTTTTTGAATCCTGGCTCTGAGTGAAGGCAGAAGAGACTGAGACAAAGCAGTAATGAAGTGGTGCAAACATCCATCACTGTTACAACCTCAACAAAAACTCCAAGTAAAAAGTAAACTCTTTTAATCTCTAAGTAAAAAAACCCTAAGTTTACACTCTAAAGAAGACTCAAAGTAAAAACTCGAAGTAAAAGCAAAAGGAAATGAAAACAAGTCTGTGGAGGGAGCAGAAACCATCTCTGAATCCCTAGGGAGGGCCCCATGGAAGAAAATATCTTAAAATAAGAAATTGTTTGCTTACAGTGACCAATACCAAGAAGTATCTCACCCCCCTGCAGACCCCTGTGTGATCTTTCTCTAATTTTAGTGGCCCATTTTCCTTTTAGATAATTGGTTCCTTTTTCCCCTAAAGTCCTTTGTAGATTGGTTAGTTACAGAATTCTGTAATTTATTGGTGCAAAATACAAAACCCTTAAACCCTATAAAAAGTCCTCTTAAAACCCCACCCTTGGGATTTGCTGGACAGGACCCCTTCTGTTGGGAAGGGTGAGGATTTAACAGAGGAGTTGTGCAGATGTACAGA